CTCTCCAGTCTCCTCTCTCTGTCTGTCTCCAACTTTCCAAGAATAGGAATGGGCGTCGTCAACCGCAACGTTCACACCCATACAGAAGTTCCTAACCCTACAGGCCTGCTGCCCGCACCGGGAAATGGACCGAAAAGAGAGAAAGCTCAAAACATTGGACGATGCAGGCAGCGGAAACGGCCTTGTCAGCTTTCTCCTCCTGCACCACCACAACCATTACCACCACCACCACCTCAGCGCCTCGAATGCCTGCCTTCAACTCGTTGCTGAAACGGAACTATTGGCCCGGATTGATGGTGTCGTCGCCGTGCGGGGTTCGTTCCATGAGGATTGCGATTCTTTTCTGCTCGTCGCTCTCGACGCTTCGGTCACCGGTCACCACCTTCTTGATCCATCTTACGGCTCTACGCACCCCTAGCCTCAAGGCCCCCGGCCTGGTTCACCCCCTGGGCCCGAGGATCTCCTTTCCCGTCATTCTCTTCTTATTTTCTGCGTTTCTTACCGCCGGCTCCCACCCTGCGATAAGCCTAAATCGGGCACGAGGGCCCAAGGGGGCGTAGGCAGAGGGGCTCTCTCTCCTCGCATGCAACGAGAGCCTGGCCGCGGGTCACGGATGGGCGTTGCGAACCTGGCTGCTACAGCCTATTGTAGTCATATTCCTCCCACACCGAGGGAGCAAAAGCTGCAATCAACTAATATGGCACCCACCCCTCTTTCCATTAGATCTATTTGAGGCAACGATATCTGGTTAGACTGGGTCCGTAGCTACGGACGTCTTTCGGAGACCTGTCGGTAAGAGAAAGAGGTAGTTGTGTAAATGATCTGTCGGTGATGGAAGAGGATGGTGAAAGAGAGTGCAATAGTCGTGGTATACGTGGGCTCTAGTTCTAGTTCGAGAAGCGAAGGAGGCGATCTATGCGCGGCTGACTTGATGGTGATACAAGGGCCTGGACTTGGCAGCGGGAACTGAGTAATCCGATCGTGTTTGGACGAAAGCTTTCTAGAGTGGCCGGCATGGATACCCTTTGCAAGCCCAGCTCTGTCAGTAAACTTTGAGTAGGTTACCTTGACTTCATAGACTCTGAGCACAAAAAAAAAAACAAGGCTTTTGTCTGATGGCAATGGGAGACATAGCATCAGAGGTGGAGACGGTATCAAGAGAACCAAAGAGCGAAGGCGCGAGAATGGGTTTGTTTCTAGACATCATAGACTTTGCTGCCAAGAATAATGAAATGGTATTATTGACTGATCAACAATTTCTGTCGACAAATGAGATGATGTTTTTGTCCCCTGGCTGTAGACGTTTCATCGCCCAACGAAACAAAACGCCGCCAGAGCACAGACGATGACCGAGGGCAAAGGACTCAGCCACCTCGTTCCCGTTTCCAATGTTTCCATGCATGATGTGTTGTTTGTTCGCCCATCAGAGTTCCTCCGTCTCGGTCTGAACATCCTCGGCATCGACGCTAGTGTCCTTGGTGATCTCGTCCTTCTCGGCGCTCTTGACCTTGTCCCAGAACTTCTCTCCAGCATCGGGGTCGTTGGCGAAGAGGTGGTCGACAACCAGCTTCTTGGGCGTCTCGCCCATCCACTGGAACAGGGAAAAGTCTCTAAACTCGTCGGCACGGAAAATTTCGAGCATCTCGAGGGGTTCGTCGCCAATGTTCTCAACAAAGTGACCCATGTTCTTGGGGACGATGCCAACGTCGCCCGGCACATAGTCGAATGTCCTGGCGTTTCCTTCCGAGGCAAAAATCGTGACTCTGGCGCGACCCTTGATGAAGAAGGACCACTCGTCGGCGTTGGGGTGCCAGTGCATCTCGCGGAGGGCGCCGGGCTCGATGATGGCGTGAGCGGCGGCAATGGTCTTTGAGATGGGGAAGTTCTTTGAGTCGGTTACTCTGACTTCGCCGCCAGAAGTCTTCTTCGGTTCCTGTGCGAGCATCTTGTGCGTGAACTGGTGCTTTGATTTCTTGACGCCCTTTCCGTCGGGTGCCTCATGGCTGATGGAGCCGGGTGTCGTTCCTTGGAAGATGTACTTCTCTCCCTCGGGAATGTTGGCAAAGACCTCGGGGGCCAGCTTGAAGTTCTTTGAGATGACAGACTTGGGGGTGTGTGCTGTTGAGTTGTCAGTCACTTTGATGTCCTACTATTTCTCCGTGGCACCATACCAAGCCAGTCTGTGAGGATGAATGTAGACTCCTCAGAAAAGTGTCCGTCGTCAAAAATCAAGAGGAACTCGGTTCCGTTCTCGCCGAGACCTTGAAGGGAGTGAGGAACGCCGGAGGGGAAGTACCTGGACAGAACTGTTTAGCATGAGGAGAAGCAGTGGAAAACGAGTGAAAACATACCAAAGATCACCCTTTTGGACGTCGTCGATGAAGTTGCCTCCCTCGTAGTCAATGGCGGTGATACGACAGCTGCCATCAAGGACGTAGGCCCATTCAGCTTCCTTGTGCCAGTGGAGCTCACGAACGACTCCCTCGTCTAGGCGCATGTTGACACCGGCCAGCTCGATACTAGTAGGAAGCTCGCGAATAGTAGTCTGTCTAGTCCAACCACCCTCCTACAAATAAGACTAATTAGCACCATTAAGCTACAACAGAAGCTATGCGGACAAACGAACCTCGATGCGAATGTGAGAATCAGCAAAACTCCAACGCATGTTGGCAAGATTGCCATGATCAGTGCCTGGAGGTCGAACGAGATCTGGGTTCTGTCTAGATCGAGCTTCATTCCAAGGACCAAGAACAGAGGCTCCGAGGCCATTGCGGTATGGCAAGGGATCGAGCTCATCGCCAATGGAGTCAATGGGACCATCGTACTTGTCCTTGTGGCCAGGAGTGTAGGGAGGCGAGCCGCTGCGGTACTTTGTAGGCAGACCCTTGCCGTCGAGGAGGCGCTGGCGAGGACTGTCCTGGACAGGAACGGCGAGGGTCGGAGCGATGAAGCTCAAGACAGCTCCTGATAGGAGCAGCGGGAGATGCATGATGGTGGTGAGAAGCGTGTAAGAAGAGGATGTCGGGAGGAAGGAACTGCAGGTGATCTGTCTTTCATATTGAGAAAGGTAGATTGGCCGCGCTGGCTTTTATATTCCACATTTTGGAGCCAAGACGCGAAGATCCTCGGTCCTGAACTGGGAAGATTTCGGAGCTCGAAGCTCGGAGAAGTTCCTGATTGACCAATAACCGTACGGTATCGAACCCCTGGTAAGCTGTCTCGACCAGTTACACTGCTATCGGAGGCCATACTGAGGTTCGGTAGTGTGGTCGACCATAGGAAGCCTGCCTCCGAGTGAATGCCGACGCATCTCCGCATACCATGGGTCGAGGACCTGAGGACATGGAGCTATCAATGATGTGAGGTAAGGTGAGGAGGAGGAGGAGGAGGAGGAGGAGGAGGAGCTCAACCGAGCGCGGCGAGGTGTCGATGCTGCGGGGTACCGCTGTAATCGGCGCTGCCCAGGCCCCCTTTACCCCAAGCTCCGACCCCTGTAAGCGGTAAATGATTGGAGGCCACTGCGTGTCATTGGCGACCTGGGCTGGTCTTTTGGCATGTTGGATGGCACCCGAGCAAGAGTGGTAAAGCTTGGCTGGTTCTGCAACGATTGTGAAGGGGTTGAAATGTGAAGAGCAAGTGGAAGATGCAGAAGACGAGTAAAACAGTACTGTGTAATTGATTATTGCTTCAAAACGATGACGCGTCGTACCAAAGATGTTTCGCTTTGTTTACACTGCTGGATTTGTGCATAAATCACATATGAGAGAATTTCTCAAAGGGCAAGACCATTTAAGGTGAGGTGCCTGCCATGCCTACCTATTTTCGTTCCTGCCTACCTTCCCTTCCTTGGCTTCGGTCACGTTACCTCGCTTGCCTGTGACTTCACTTTGGAAAATGTCACCCGCCTCTTTTTCTTGGCTTGGATGTACATACCCTGAAGTCTTTCAATGTGCATTGAAATCAAGGAGTCCGAATCTTGGCATTCATAAGACGACCGTTCATTATCTTTGTAGATTATTAATCATTCATCCAAATTGTAATAAGGTTCATACGGCACATGGAAGGGATGTTTGATTAATACTCTCACAGTTCTCAGGCCTCGATCCGAACTATATATGATATATCTCGTTGATGCAGTCTCTAGATTTCTGACTAACTTTGTGTTTTCCACTCAATGCTGTACGGTAAGACAAATGATTATTCCGTGAAGATATGGTAACTTTTGAGAAAATAACGAAAACATTTTGCCGAACGACACAAGATCAAATCAACAATTAAGGGGAGCAACGTATCAAGGATTCAAGTACTGTACATGTATGAACTGACAATTGTGCCATCTGACATAAACTGTTCTTCAAATTCTCAAATCATAAAGAAGACTCGTTGGAGCCCCAGGTTGTAGCCTACGAAACACAGTTTTGAATCCTGAACCGAGGGGGTCAAGAAGACTTAATAGATGTAATTTACATGATGAACCGCCCATGGACCTTAGATTGATGACAAACACGTTCCTCAATGTTCTTACCAAACTATGAATATATCTGTTCACTCCTCTGCAGTTCAACTTGAGGTGAAAATGTCGGTCTTTCATGTGACAATGTACTCACATTTAGCAGATACTCGGCCAATCTCATGTACACAAGAACCAACTGGCTAGAAACACACAAAAAAAAGCGCCTGAGAGGAAGCCTCGACTGACTTCGAGGCATCAGCATTTTGGAGCCTCACACGGGGTCAGTCATTGTCACGGATACCATAGAAACTCCCTGTTAGGGTTTTGGCAATGACCCCGCGTCCATGAATTCACACAAATATCTTGTGATACCGTCACTGACCTGCTTTCAAATTAAAACAGACCATCAGGGCTTCCTTATTCTTCTCCAAACACCTCAAAGGCAATCACCAACTTAGCAACACTTCTATTTGCCAGCAAAGGCATCCATCAGAGCAAGGTGCCACGGCGTCTGGAACCTGGTGTGTACGTATCAGATCCATTGTCTATGACTAGTTTTCCCATAATCTGACAGTCGAAAAACAACCAGGTCCTACATAGTCATTGATGGCAAGTATTGGGTCGCGAAGGACCTCACTCTGGCCAACTTTGGCGATCTGGTGGCCGCCGAGAAGCCCGATCCCGCCTCTATCACCGCTGGTCAGGCGGCTAATAGACCTGCGTTTGATAAACCGAAGCCTCAGTCGGAAGGCTACGCGCTTTCCCCTTCTTTGACCGAGCTGCGACCTCTTCCCATGATGCCCGCTGGCGCCGATGTCGACCTCAACTTCGGCAAGATTTGGGATTATACCAATGCGAGAAAGATCAAGGAGGAAGACGAGGACTTGATGGCGGTGGCAATGGCTGATGAGGAGAACGACGAGGAATACATTGACCAGCCTGAATTGCAGGCGAATGTGATTTTGGACGCTTCTCGAGAACCTCATCTTCTCATTTTTTCGCCCCCTGTGCCTCGCTATGCGGTTCTGCTCTTTGACGATGTCCACGCGGAATACCTTCCAGCTCCCGCGCTCGATGACTTCGAGCACCAGCAACATGCCCCCATGGCCCCGATGGCGTCTTGACACCCCAACAACATTCAGGAACCGAATGTTCACCAGAATGACCGTGCTTTGGACGCCGTCAACAATTACATCATTGCTGGACAGCAGCCGCAGATCCTCCCTGATCTCGATGACAATCTCATCATCCGCGGTTATCGCCAGCAAATCATTGTAGGCAACATCAATACTACCCATACAATGACGCTGCCTAAGCTCAGGAGAATGAATTTCAGGATCATACTCAGGCGCAGGTGGACCGGCTGGCAGTCTCTGGAGCGGAGAGCCGTCTGCCCCTCGCCTGGACCGCAAACCTCACCAGGAGCGCTTTGGAGCCCTCGGACCCAACACGCCATATGTCCCCTTGGTCCCGGGTGTCGATTGTTCCGTCGACCTGGTAGCCGATGATCTTCCCCAAGGTTGGATCGCGAAGCTTGGTTGTACTCAATGGGACCTGAGAATCCCTTATGGAGATGCTCTTCAAGACCACTTGATCAATGTCCATTACGTGGACTATCATCACCTGGAAATGGGCGAGCTCACTCATTGGGCCACTCAGGAAGTTTCTTTGGAAGGGGATGAGTACACGCCTCACTATTAGTCGCTTGCATTTGGTTTTTTTGTGACTTATCCCCCGTCAGGGGAAACGAGCAAGAATTGGATGATAAAGCAGGAATTGCAGGTATGAGACGATGGGGTTGGCATAAGAAGCATGATGAAGCATTGGATTAATGAGGCTGTGGAAAAACTCGGATGCGAGCACGTGTGCCTGACCCTTAGCACATTCAGCAGTGATAGCCTGCAGACATGTCTGCCGATTGCAAGAACGCTTCTTAACATTGAGCTGAAGACCTGGTATCTTCTTAGTCTACCTTACTGCCGGTAGATCACAGTACGTCCAGATGAATGGTGGGGAGACGAGATAAAGCTGAGTTTCTGCAACGTGGACATTGTATCGGCGAGGTCATCACATAGCACATGCCACGAGAAGATGCAAGTTGAATTGCCAAAAGGATTACTATTACATCTATATTTTGTGCGCCTCGTTTCTAGGCCAAAGCGCGCAGGATAAGATTAAATTCCTCTAGGGAGTGACCCAGCATATAGGCTTTGCCTTATGTTGAGCTTTGCCAGGTTTGAGAACTTGATTACAAGTAGGCAAGAGCACCGAGAGCAAGAGCTGCCAGGAGGCCAACGGGGCCCTGAGTAGCGGCACCGTTGACGGTAACGGGGGTGGCGGTAGCAGTGGCAGTGGAGGTGCCGTTGCGGGTGGTGGTGGCGCTTGTGACAACAGCAGTGCGAGTGGTGCCAGCGGCGGCGGACGAGGCAGCGCTGGTGACGGCGCGGGAAGCACTTGAAGCGACGGAAGAGGCGGCGGAAGCAGCCTTGGTAGTGGCAGCAGAGGCAATGGAGGAGACGGCGGCCGAGGCCGAGGCAACGACGGAAGATGCAGCGGCAGAGGCCGAAGCGACGACCGAGGAAGCGGCGGAAGCAGGGCCACCACCACCGGCGACGGCGGCGCAGATCTTGCCAGCGGCGGGGAGGACTTGGTCTTGAGGGGCAGAGTTAGGATCTTGGTGTGCTATACGAGGGCCTTGGTGATGAACTTACTGACGGCAACGTCGGCACCGCAGCTGGAGAGGACGCAAGGAGTACCGGCGGTGACGATGGCCTGGTAGTTGGCAGGGCTGCAGAGGCAGGTAATGTCACCAACGGTGCACTTGCCAGTGGAGGTGACGGCGTCGGCCAAGCACTTCTGGGCACAAGTGGGAACGTCGGCCAGGGACTGGGCGGCGGCGAGGCCAGCGAAGGCGATGATGGCAGCGGCGAACTTCATGTTGACGGTTCTGATGGTGTCGAGTGACTTGACTGGAAGTTGAGTGACTGAAACGACAGCGAAAGTGTTGTCCGGGTGAAGCGAGAGTTGAGTGAGCTGATGAGGGAGAGAAAAACCGGGATTTGAAAAGGTGGAAACACCTGCTTCTCATATACACCCCGGACTACCTACCTGTAGGTCACCGAAATAAACATCTGCGGGGGGTTACACCCGGTCTATTCCTAGCTCGAGACAGAACAGCTTTGTCTAGGTTTGAGTGAGATGTTCCCGTAAGTATCCAGTTTCCGGGCTGGAGGAGGAGCTCTGGAATGTTGCGGTTCAGCGTTTGCAGCCACACACGTTCCCACATCCGTCCCTGAGACACACGAGGCCAATCGGAGCCTCCAATTCGTCTTCTCCAGCTCTTAGGTTCCTGTGGCGTCTAGACTAGACCGCAGCTTGTTGAGAGGTGTGCCTGACCGGACTGAAGCCGGATTCATCAGCTTGTAGTGGCGCCAAGAGCATCCACTTGTTTTGGTGTTGAGCGACGCGGCGGGAATCCATGGCTTTCTTGGGAATCCTTTGCCTCTTGCGTCTCTGTTGGGGTGGGAGTCAGTAACACAGACTGCTGCCGAGGAGAGCTTCCATCGGTGCTGCGTCATTGATTTACCTTGAGAAGTCTTGAGCTCGAGGAAATAATGAGGAGGTTATGACCTCACAAGAGCTCGAAAAGAATCAATACGAATATTGGCGGAGCAAACTTCATGGCGTTCATGTCATTACCTAAGGTAGGGTACTCCTCTCAAAGTTACCCACAAGGTAGTGAACTGGATAGGTAAGACAATAATAAAAGCTTAAAATTCTGGATTCCGCGGGGAAACAGGAATACATACAGGGATGAAAGTTCTGCCGTCTACCTGATAAGTCTGATGGGAAGTACATACTTTCCTCTCTCGTCGTGTTGAGAACCGAGGAGAACTTTCGCTGAGCCGAGGATGTGGTAAACTTGTCAGAACACCAAAGGCACTCATCGTGAACTATTGAAGCTGAACCTCCACGAGGTATGGCGTCGACCAATCGGTTGGCGTCTCTCTTGGCGGACATGGCCTGGATGGACTAAGCGCGTTGACGGAGGCAAAGTCTTGCGCTGCCAGCGCCAACAAGTCGGTTCATGTTGACTAAAAATTAGGTGTTGCTCTAATATCTCCGGACGAGCCACGTTGTTGAGCTAGTCGATGGCGCCTCCGAGGACGTGATGGGTCGTGGCAGTCTGACAGGTCAGGGGGCCGGGAACTACTACACGAGCACAGCTCCAGGGGATCCAATAGATGGCAATAATGATTACCTGATAACCTAAGATGGCGCTATCTAAATACAAGACCAAGCAACTAGCTATACGACACAAGAAGTCTACAAGATGCACGCTGTTTCGCGCCCTTGAGGGCACACCGTCTTCCAGAATCCGCCCATGCGATCCGTTACATGTCTAGTCCGTTCCGTATCCATGCCCATTCCAAATTCCACAGCGACAAAGGAGAAAGAGTAAAAGTATCAATGAAAGACCCAAGCGACGAACCGATCCATCGCATGCTATGTTGCCCCAACACAGAAAAAGGAGAAGAAAGAAAACACAAAGGAAACGCTATACTCGTGCTATCCGTCCGTCCGTCCGTACTTCGCCACGCTAAACACCTCTTCATTCCCTCGCTATTCCCATTCCCATAATCCCAAAATAAGTTCTGAGGATTTAGTCGCTCTTGTCGCCCTCGGAGTGAGAGTGCTGAGACGACGACCTCTTCATACCCCGTAGATCGCATCTTCGTATGATTTGACTAAACATGACAGTCAGCATAGTGCTTCAGAATATTGAAAGGTGATGGGTTAGACTCACATTCCACCCCGCTCGTTGGGGTTGCGTACAACCACCAACTGCTCCTTCTTCTTATCGTCATTCTTCTTCGTCTTCGTCGACGGCGCCCTCGCATGGGACGACTCTCTAGAGCGCGACTGCAATGAAGGCGTAGACAGACGTCCCCGCAGCTGGCCGATCTGGTCCTTGAGGCTGTTGACCTCAGCGACCGAGGCGTCGTAGGAAGCGCGCATGCCATCAAGCTGAGCGTTGACGAGAGACAGCTGCGATGTCAATGTTGCGTTCTCCTGACGGAGCGCAGGCGCCATGACGGCCTCTGTTTCCAGTCTCGCGACGCGGGTCACGAGATCGTCACGCTCGGCGGTGAGGGAGCCAAGCTTGACTGTCTCGGACTGGAGCTGGTCGTTGCGGTCCGTGAGCTCGGCGATGCGGTTGCGGAGCTCCTCCATGACAGCGGGCTCGGAGGGCGTGATAGACTTGGCGGACACGGACTCGGCCTTCTCGGAGACGGCATCGGCTTCGACGGGCGCTGCCTCCGGCTCGGGGGCTGGGGCAGGCTCAGGCTCGACCACCTCGGGTTCGGGCTCGGGCTCGGGGGCGGCCTTGGAGAGCTCAGAGGGTGCCGCTGAGGTGACGCTGGCAGCGTCGTCTTTGACTTCCTCGGGTGCCGGTGCCGCTGCTTCTTCGACGACCTCAGCCTCCCCAATGACTTCGATGACTGGGACCGCAGGAGGCTCCTCTACTGGAGGTGCGGGAGGTGCTTTCTCGGGCGCCGGAGGAGCTGGCGGAGCCTCTTCGGGAGGGGCCGGGGCCTCATCATCCTCACCCTTGACAGTGTCTGTATCGCTGTCATCCGCGGAACCGATGACGGACGGGGCGGCGGAGCCGATGACTGAAGGTGCAAGTGAACCAGGGAGGGAGCCGGCGATAGATCCCATGAGTGACTCGGCACGTCGGAGCTCGCTGGTGACGGACTCGTTCTCATCCTTGAGCGACTCATTCTCCGAACGGAGGATATCGCGCTCCTCTGCGAGGCTAGAGATTTGAGAAATCTTGTCGTCTTGGTCCTTGAGAAGCTCGCCGACCTGCCCTTGGAGTGTCGTGTTCTTGCCCTTGAGCCCCTCTATGCGGGTTCTGAGCTTGTCGTATTTGGTCTTGAAGCCCTCGAGGTCCTTCACCTGGGTCTCCAGCTCACCCTTGCTGAGCTCAAGCTCGCCCTTAGTGGCCTCAAGGCTCTCGAAGCGGGTCTGGATGTCGGTGTTGGTGGTCTCGAGCTGAGTGAGACGGACCTCGACTTCTTGCTTCTCGACTTCAAGGGCGCCAAAGCGGGTCTGGATG